CAAGGAGAGGTCTAGCAGTTAACAACTGCAGTTGGTTAAGCATTAACCAAAAAGAAGCAAAGCTTGGTCTGAGGGGAACCTGCACATAAGCACACTTGTTGCGGTTTAAACCCTGTATCACAATATTTGAAATTTATTCTAATAGTAATAATTAGAGAGAATTTATTCTTCTATAACAGCAAAAGGTTGGACATAAGAATTCAAAAGAACTACTTAACCTAGACAGAAGAGTTGCTGGTGGGCCTCATAAAGCCAGTACTATTCAAACTACCATAAACAGACGTTCATTATTTTGGCAAGCCTTTATGGTATGTGGTCGTTATACACGTTTTTTTTCCTCTTTGCCTTGCCATGAGTACACAACATTTTAAAACTTGTTTCAATGGTACACGTTTCCCTGAGAAAAAGGGTCACACTTGTCCTTCAAGGCAGTGCTACCACTGTCCATAAGTAAGGAACACTCCACACCACCCTAACCAACCCACATAAGAGAAGAGGATTCCCAGTCCAACAAAACCTCTTCTTAAAGCTCACCACTGATTTCACAGCTTTCCTCACTTTTGGCAGTTTGCTGGAGAGAACGAGCATTTATCATACACTGTGCAAAATCCAGTGCAGAATGAGTTGGCCCATGGATATTACCACACAAAAGACACTGACATAGCCAGCCTACATTATGAATAGCACCTAACCAGAACAGGATTTTGAAACAAGACAACAAGATGTGATGGTCAGCAAGATACAAGTGAGTCTGGTAAAGACAATGAGAATTACATCTCTTGATTTGGTGCAAGGAGGTCACTACCATGAACTGCAAAACTGGACTTCTGGAGAGTTCTTGGGGAGCAAAGTGATTTCGGCTTGTATCTACCGATGACACATGGATATGTAAGTGATGTTCTGGAAATTAAAGTCAGACTTCTAGATTAGAGGCTTCAGATTTAAAGTCTTAGCGGGGGTTTTGCTCCATCTTACCTTAATCAAAATTAATCAGATTGTTAGAAATAAAATTTAAAATTCAGTTGTTTGCAATAGTATCTAAGCTAAGAGCAGGTAAAATACTAAAAAGTGAGGAGTATGCAAATGAAACTAATGCTACATCAGGTAGCAATGGTGCCTGATTAAAGTAGATTTATAGAGCAAAATGGTACGATGACCTGATTTGTTTACACCTAGGGAGGTTTCCTCTGGGCCATATTTAGCCCATTCCCATGAACTGACTGCCTTTTAGCAGTGACACTGCATCTTCCAAAGTACAACACATTTTAAAATTCATCTGAAAGGAATTCAGTTCATACACTCCAACATCACTGTCTGATGTGAACCAAAGTGTGATAAGCAGAGTGAGATTTACTTCAGAACTACACTCTTAACCTAAAGAAAAAATACCAATGTATACATTATGCCAGTGACAAGAGCAAAAGTACTAAGTCAAAAAGATACCTTAGCCTCAGTAAGGCTATGATAAATTACTACAAAACTGACAGTAGCAATCACGCAGTCGCAATCAGCACAAAACATACAGCCTCATTATGTCCCTTCTTAAGACGATAGATCTTTTTCTATCATTTTGATGAAGTTTGTCACTAATAAGGAGTTATCTAAGTAGAAGAATATATTTTTCTTATTATCCTTGACAGCTTACTAAGTGTTCAGCTTTTACTGCCTCAGATTTCATACATGCCCATCAGTTTGTCTTCTTTTCCGGGTATGTCCGCCAGAGATAGTATCTAGTCAAAGTTCTCACACTGTAAAAGCACCTCACCAGAAGAGAAGCACTTTTAAAGAAAACAACAAAGAAAATATTCTAAAACCATTTCAGTACCTACCCTGGTAAGTTGATTTCATTTCTCTTCTGACCATGGCGATCAAAAATTTTCACAGTACGATCATCTCTAAAAAAATAATTAGCATATAGAATAATTCCCTTTCTTCATCAGTGTTTTCTACGGACAAATACAGTAAGTATTTATAATCTTACCCTGTTACAGCCAGGAAATTTCCCAAAGTTTTCTGCCAAGCAAACCGCACAGGAGAACCAGACCAAGCTTTTTCTAATATACTGAATACTTGCTGAAAGAGGAAAAAAAAAGTGGGACATTTTACATTTTTATATCATGAGCATATAACAGTTAAAAACTTCCTTTACTGTGAGTACTGTGAAGGGAAAAAACACAAACCTCAAACACAACTTCTGGGTGCACCAAGGTACCAAAATTCCACAGAAAAATCTTTTGGTTTGTGCTGGAAAAAAATGAAGTTTCTGGTGCTGGGAATCTGCATTGTGAACTACTAAAACTCTACCACAACTATTATTTTTTCTCTTACAAAGATATTAGAGTAAATCTCCCCTTCCTGTCGAAAGGCCAGGATGTTTAATTCTCTTAATGTCATGGAAAAGTCTGGGACCAGAAAGCATCCTTCATGTGTTCAACACAAAAGGCTCAACCCCTCTGCTTTTCAAGCTACATAGCTAGTTGGTCCTCTGAAATGTTGGATATTAAAAGCTATGATCACAAAGCTACTGAATTACAGAGATTCTGACCACAAAAGTTTCTTGGCTTCTTTTTCCTTTCACTCCCAGCTGCACAGATTTTTTCATAATTTGCATTTAAGATAAACCCCACGAGTTGGTTTCACAGTTTGCCATCATGGCTTTTTCCCTCCCACATCAGCAGATAAACACCAACATCTGGTGTTCACCAAACGCCTGGCAGGATGACTCACGTCTTGGCCAAAGACCCCCCATCCCTTCTTTTGGGTGGAAGTCAAATGAAGCATTCTTCACACTGAATCTGCATTTTACTCACAAAAAGTGTAAAAATATAAGCACCTACAAAAATAAGTCTGTAATAAATCAGCGGTGAAGAAAACGATGACGGGAGTGCAGGAGAGCTGCAGCTCTTCGTGCTCTCACCGTACGCGCAACCGAAAAGGGCTCTGAGTAGGAAACTTTCCTTCGGGCCCAACCCTTCACCGCTGCCCCGGGGCTCCCGGCGCCCCTCCCTGCGGGCTC